GGGGGACAACATCAAATGCTAGTTAAACTGATTGGCGTATCGTTTGCTGGATTACTTCTATCCCCTTTTTTGAATATGGGTGTTATATTAGCATGCTTCCAATCTGAAGGTACCACACCCGCAGATAACGATTTCTGGAATATTAAAGTTAAAGGTTGGCTAATAATATCCCTCATCTCTTTTAAAACTATAGGTAAGATGCCATCAGGGCCCTGCGATTTATTTATTTATCATCATCAGTAGCTGGATATTATCCCCCATTAGCCATTTGTGAATGATGCACGTGAGATATGGGTGCGATGTTACACGGATGCTAGGACTTGAGGCTCCCCCGCATTCCGCCGCCGGCTGCGCGCGCACCCGCGGCCACGTGATCACCTCTGCGACTCGCAGGTGAGGAATGCGCGCAGGGCTTTTACCGGCAGCGTCATCGTCGGCGTCCCCGTGCAGTGCTGCGGGGCGCCCCAAATGCGCGCGCTGTCGCACCCCAGGGGTCAACCACAGCGAGGAAAACGCAAGGCAGTCTATGAACTGCATGCCAAATGTCACATATGCACTGTTTTTATAGCCAACTCAAGATCTATATAACCATAAAATTAAATAATAGCGGAGCATGATCGTCATTACACCATTTATTTTGATACGGTCTAGAATCAGCAGGATACAGTGCAGCTAACTGCGCAGACTGATTGTGGAAGGTGGTAGATTACCCAGCCATCGACCTGCCTAGTAATATTCGTTAAATTACTTCGCTTTCCAAAAAAGACGCTGACTACAGTTCTGTAAGCAAAGCTGCATTCACGGAGACTTCAGAAACAATTGAACCGTTACATTGATAATGACGAAGTAAGGTTTTGCTCACCTTGAAGAGTCCCAAAAATTAATAAAATGCAATGCTCACATCATTTTGAGTGAAATCCCGTTACTGCGCATCAACATAGTAGTCGTGTTTGCTGCAACTGCCGTTTTGTCCAAATAATGCCAAAAAGGTCTCTTCAGAGCGATTAGACAAACATCCTAAATGATGCGACCGACAAAAATAATAAACTGACGTGTCCATCAGAATTGGTAGGTATGAATCACGCTTTACCGAAGGGTCCTCATCCTTGGCATAATGCAAACACCTCAGTGTGTCATCGAGGTAAAAGGTTTTTAATGATAAAAATTGAAAAAAAGGTAGTTGTAGGTGACCAACTAGGAATTCGGCCATGCAACGCTCACGTCCCAGTAGACATTGTGACAGGGGAAATGTATCCCCTGACCACCACCACCACCACACAGATCAGAAATTAGAAAATAATGCGCGCTAAATGTTAGCACCAAGCATCCGTAGAAATGTCGTCCGATCAACCAGATGATTGTTGATTCTTCTCTCCCCCAACGGTAGGTCGATACTGTAAGTGGTTTCCTCGCAGCTGTTCTCCGTTCCAACAGTTCATTCAGGGCGCTGAGATAATGTTTATTTCTTAATCAGAGTGCCAGTATAATACACAATGACAGCATCTCACGTCTAACCGGCAATGCTGCAACATGTGAGCTTTGGTGTGCTAGTGCAAGCTGTATCTATGCCATCTCTCTTGTCAGGCGTTTAAGTAGTTACATCTTTTTTTTAATAAATCAAGCTAGCTAGCTACCCTTCCTTCTATCATATACATAGGCACTGTGCTGTGATGGTGGAAGTCCAAGAGCCGTCCACTTTGGGAAAGTCAACAATTAAATACAATTAAAGTAGCACAAACCGGTGGCGATTTCCTTGATAAATTAGCTTTCGAGCAAGAAAATTTTACATTTTGAAAAAGGGAAAAAAAACATGAAGTGACAACAAAATGGCGGCTGTGTTAAATCAACTGTGCCCCGAAATGGATCTCCCCGTCAATTTCTTCTCTTTCACGCCTTGTCGTTCTCACATCGATTGTCGCTCGTCCAATCTCCCATGTCACCGATCTCACTCGGGGCACGCATTGTACCTTAGCCGAACCGAGTCGAAGCGGAGCGGGCCTCCTTCACAAATCCTGGCCTCCTCTCTGCTGAGCCCGTATAAATTCTGTCAGCAAACCACTGGCATTCTCCCAGGAACAGGGAGGGAGGCCAGCCGGGCGAAGGAGGAGGGGAGGGCTGGAAAAGCCTCATACGACTTTTTCACTTTCTTCCCTTTATTTTACTTGATTTAATTATTAGACTTATTGGTTTTGTTCTATTCAGAAAAAAATGTTGAATATTTTAACGGTGTTGCCTTGTGTTCCCGAAAAAAAACAGAACAGTTATGATTACAGTGGGAATTATTATTATTATTATTATTATTATTAATAATAATAATAATAATAATAATAATAATCTTGCCTGTGACTAAATGTCCATGCCCATGAGATATTCGTTACCCCTGCTGACCGACACTCCTTTATAATAATAATAATAATAATAATAATTCTCCAATCAATATGTAACGCAGCAAGAAGATATTCTCAGGAAGTAAAGCTAAATATATAAATAGTAACCTAAAATTTATTTCTAAATAATCATCATAGATGTCACTCAGAAAAAGAGCCATCTAGTTATTTTTATTGTGACTACAATCAGAACAACTTTTGCTGTTGATCTTAAATTGGCCGCCATGATACAAAGCCGTCATCAACACTTTGGTACTAATACGAAAAGCAGAAACACCTTTAATTCTCCATGACTGATTACCCACTTAAAAACTGAGGTACAGATTTTCAGAAATGATTACCTCTGGAGATCTCTTGGGATATGCTGATTATTTCAAACAGCTATACCATTTGGCTTTTCTATACTGAGAGTCTTCATGCCACCTTTAAGGAATATGGCCACTTAAGAACATGAAAATAGATGAACTAATCAAAGGCGGTCTGTAAATTCCAGAGTCCATCTATTGCTACCTCATTTCTCAACTAATGTTCCATGTGCAATATCTGACTGTTACATTTGTGCAATATTTCTCCTTATCTACACGGCATTTCTAGTGCATTACTAAACATGTGTGCTATATTTAATTGAATTTTATTATATTTTACTTCTACTTATTGGTATTTTTCTTTAAATTTTTATGTCTATATTTTTCCATTCTAATACTTTTTCCTAAACTATTTCCTTTTTTTTCCTTTCTTCCCAGTAAATTAATCAGAGCAACTGTATAACCAAGACAAAGCAATTTCCCTTTGGGATTAATAAAGTTCTTTGAATCTTGAATTTTGAATCTTGAATCTTAAAGAACAAGCCCCACCCCATGCTTATTTTTTTCTACAGCTAATTTTTTCCTGTGTCCTGTGGTTATTTTCACAGTGCCCTCTGTAGTCTGTTGTATTACTTTCTTAATAGCATTTAAAGGCTTAAATATCATAGCCCAGTGCACACTGGTTTAATTTGCCAGCTTGCAGGCTCAGGTTTTTCCATATTTCATGAACCCACTCCACTTTCCTTCAGGTCAGAACCAAACTAGCTGTCTTTCAAGAGCAATGGAAATACAAATAATTAAAAAACCAAATCTACATTTGGTGAATCCACTTTTATAACATTCCATAACAGGTCCCTGTGAAACCCCTTCACTCAATACTGATTCCTTCCTGCACCACAATCGCAGTCTTGATCCACTTGGCAGAACCTTGCTGCAATTTCCACTGACATCCAAGCCTCCCCCCCATCCAGCCTCCATCTGCTGTAACGAGCGACCAGCAGCGGTTATAGCTGTACACTAACTCAGTACTGTACAGTCTTCTGGCTTCATACAGCGATCTCCGTTTCCATCTGTCCCCGTAAAACAGACCTACTTCTTTGATCAGAATTGCAGCGATCTGGAGTTCATCATGACATCAGCCAAAGTGCCCTCCAGGTGGCGCACTGGCTTGGCACTGCACACTCTGACAAGAACATGCTATCACATCCAAGATAAGCAGACACACTAAATTACCTGAAGAGCATGTGAGGGACACATAAGTCCCTTTCAAAACTATAATTAGCTTTAAAGAATATCGATTTTCATATGACACTGGTCTTAAAGTGAATTATGTGCAATTATTGCCTTCTAAATCTGTCCATGGTTTTCAACATTATTGATGACTATTATATGTATATTATAATTTGTGGAACATGTAGGCCTTTGCTCTGAAGTTTGCTCTTACTGGGAAGTCGTGATTAACAGCTTTGGATTTAATCATACTGAATGTGAGCAGTGTTGGGAATATCTTATTACAATTAGTGACGCTACTAACTACTTTTTTCAGTAGCTTATCAATAGTGCAGCTACTTTTAAAACGCTGTAGCTTTTCCAGTAATAATGTTATAGCAATAATGAACTAAGAAAATGGTAATAAAAAGGTTAAAAAATACACAAAAAATGTGACTTAAAGATGATATAATTTTATTACACAGTATACTATACATGTGATCATTTTTGCATAAGATTTTAAAATATTAAAATAAAGGGCCGACTTGCAACCAAATCGACTTTCGGACCGGTCAGTCGGAACATATCGCAGTTGTAAGTCGACGACGACCTGTGTTATTTTTCTCTCTTTAAAAAGACTGGTATTTTCAGCCACCGGGTGTTTCCGTCTCATGTTGTCTGTTTGAATACTCTGGGGACGGATTGGGGAATTTAGACACTTTAATTAAAATGCATCGGAACACTGG